AGTACACGAATCAAAGAACACCAGCGATGTGCCAAAATACGGCCACTTCTCACAATCAGCTCTAGCCGAACACAAGATTGAGACCGGTCACGCCATCCAGTTCGCAAAGCCACCATGCTGGCCCCGTCCCAAAACATTTCGCACGAAAACACCGCGAAGGCATAGAAATCTTGAAACACCCTGACAATCGGAATCGCGACAAAGGCTATCAGGTGAGCCCGATTTGGCACACCGCCCTCCCGGTTTTTAAAAAACCGTCAGCCGGGATTGGCTGACTCCCCTCCCTCTGACTCCCCTCCGTCAGCCGGGATTGGCTGACCCCCCTCCCTCTGACCACGACCCCCCCCCGACTACCCCTCCCTTCCCCCCAAGAACGAGTATAAAAGGACGAGCGCAACGCGAGGGAGCTCAGTATCAGAGTCTCCCAGCCCTGATGAAGCAGACTGCAACGCCTGCGAAACGTCGGCACCACACTGCAAACGGACGCGGCAACCACCCGGAAGCCATGAAGACTAAAGAAGACAACAACTGCGAAAGCCTGAAAGCCAAGTCTCTCTTCTGTGTATCCCTACGCCGCGCCGTGCGCATGTCCATGTATTCATACGCGGCTAGGGAACCGTCTCCATACACATCTCCTTCCCTTTTTTCTTGGAAGTATACCCTTTTGGATTCCCTTTTGTGTAATACTCCAATCGGTTTGGCTGCTTCCTATTGCGTTGCGGGCGTTGACCTGATGGTACAGTTTCCGGTTCCAGAGATCGTTGTGGAGATGGTTGCTCCGCCTCAGAAGTATCTGAGGACTCTGCTGTTTCGAAGTTTTCTTGCTCCTCGTCACTTCCTGATGGTGTTGACTCTGATTCCTGCTTGATCTGCGTATTGTCCGGTAAGGCTTCTTCCTCTTCTTCCTCTCCCGAATTAACTCGAATAGGCATGGCATTGTAAATTTGGTCCACATGACGCTTGTAGGATTAATCTCCAACTCGAACAAGATATGTTACTGGTCCCAAAACTTTAACAATGACTCCTAGTGACCATTTGGCTTCGTTTTTGGAATATGTACGAACCCAAACCTCTTCTCCCTCTTCGAACTTGCGATTCCTTACTCGAGAATTATAGTTCTTTTCTTGTCTGGCTTGTGCTGCTGCTACTGTTCTCTGGACATCGGGTTTTACTAAATCGAATACATTCCGTGGTCTGCGTCCTATGAGCAACTCCGCTGGTGATGTCCCTGTAGTCGTGTGTGGCGTGCACCTGTAACTAAAAAGAAAGCGTTGCACCCGGAAAATTAGTTCGCCTTCTGACTTAGATACTGCTTTCTTGAGCGTTTGTACGAATCGTTCCGCTTCCCCATTGGTTCGTGGATGGCACGCAGAGCTCGTTGTGTGTCGAATCCCATTGTTCCTACAGAATCTCTTAAACTCTGCTGATACAAATTGTCTTCCGTTATCTGAGATTATTTGTTCTGGAATACCAAATCTCACAAAACAGTCTCTCAGCTTCTCAATTACTTTCTTGCTCGTAGTGTCCCCATGCATGTCGTATACTTCTGGCCATTTTATATGTGCGTCCATGATTATCAGGAACATCCTGTTCTGCAATGGTCCTGCGAGATCGATGTGAAGTCTCTGCCATGGTTTTTCTGGAAACTGCCATGGGTGTAACGGTGCGCTTGGTGGATCCGGCCTGCTAGCACAACAACTGGTACAGCTTTTTGCAATGTCTTCTATCTCCTTGTCCATATTTGGCCACCATATGTACTGTCTTGCTAGGCCTTTCATTTTGACAATTCCAGTGTGTGTTTCATGAAGACTTTGAAGAAGCTTCTTCTGAAGTGTGTAAGGGATGACTACTCTGATCCCCCACATTATTACTCCTTGTTGTATAGTTAACTCTTCTCGTTTCCTGAAGTAGCTGTGTAGATCTTCATCTTCCTTTCCTATTGAGTTTGGCCATTTACTACTAATGAATGACAATACTTTTGAGAGTACCTTATCCCTTGCTGTAGCAGTGCGTATCTCCTTAAGCGTTACTGGCAACATTTCTATGTTTTCCGTAGTAATCAATTTTCTATCCTTTGAATCTTCCCAAAACTTCTTAGAAATTATGCTGCGTTCACATCCTGTATCCATTTCCATCCGATGAGGAATTCCATTTACTTTTACAGTAATCCATATTTTCCGTTGCGCTGATTGACTGGATGATAGTACCTCTGCTGTTCGGATATCTATCATGTTGTTTTGTTTAATTTGTTTCTTCGTTTCTTGACCTTGTTTTTGTGAGCCGTTTCTACATTTACAGGCCAAATATCCTTGTTTCCCACACGCATAACATTTGGAATCCTTGTGTGGACAATTATATGGATTATGATCCGTTGAGCCGCATCTTGTACATTCCTTCCTGGATTTCCAATTATTCGAAGATTTTCCATTCTTCTTGTATTGATTCTCTTTCTGCCTTGATATATTCCTTATTTTGTTGACCTCTTCCCTTTGATGAGTACTTCCACGAATAAGCGACAGACTTTGTTCCGAGAGCTCATGTGCTGTGGTTATAGCCACAACTTCTTCTAGCTTTATTTCATCCGGTCTGGTGAATAGCTGTTTTTGCGCTACTTCGTTACGCAAACCAAATATAAATTGATCTCTCAAACGTGTATCAAGATCTGTATCAAACTTACAGTTTATGGCTAGAGGACGAAGTTCTGCGAGGTATTGAGCAGTTGATTCTCCTTGGTTTTGTTTCCTACTCATGAACCGATATCTTTCCGCCAATGCTTTTGGTGCTGGTTTGTAATGTGTTCTGAGATTTGAGAACAATTCTTCCAGGGTCTTTTCTTCCGGTTGCTCTGGAGAAAGTAAGGATATTGCGAATCCATACCTCGATGTCGTCTATTGCTGGATCGAACGGCTTTAGATTACCTACCGTGGACATTTTTAACCTCACACTTTTTCTTATACGTATGAGATTCGTTTCTTCCTGGCTTCAGTTTACCCTCGTCGCCAAATATGTCGTGTCTCTTACTATTAGTCTCTATCCGAGGTAGCGGGTTAATGACTACTCCTGGATTAGCTTAGATAATAATATTAGCTGTGCTTTATTTCGGTACAATCTAATAACCGTCTCTTAACCAACAACTCTCTCTTCTGTGTATCCCTACGCCGCGCCGTGCGCATGTCCATGTATTCATACGCGGCTAGGGAACCGTCTCCATACACTACAATTTATTAACACATATTAATACAATAAATGTTTTAAGTATTACTGGCATCACTGGCATCACTGGCATCACTGGTATCACTACTGGCAGCACTGGCATTTCTGGCATCACTGGTCTCATTATTTTTCTTATCATCTCCTTTATTATTTCTATAATGTAAGAAAAAGCGTATAATACACGTATAATTTTATACGGGTTGACTTATGAATACCAAAAAAATACTAGTAACAATATTTACTTTTTTAAACGGAAGCTGGCTTGAGCCAGCCATGGTCCGGCTTTCCTTCCAAATGCAATTGCATTTATATTAGGGTACGTTCTGATTATCGCTTCTGTAAACAAATATCGTACACAATCAAATCTAATCTTCAAAATGCATCAAATAAAAAGAAATAACGTAACTTTACCTATCATTACTTTGCTGATTCGACGACCACACAATTTATCTTTCTTTCCTCTTTGGCCCTTCCAATTGAAGAGAGTTGCTAAATCGTCGTGAAACACCATTCGTAACATCGAATTAATCTTCTTTTGAGCAGAGTCACCGATACTTCCAATATGTAATGCATTAATCTAAAAATTTTTTAAAGTTGATAGTTACAATATTGACAAAGAAAAAAGTAAACTTTTCAGATACTAAAATAGTAACAAAAGTGACATTTCCATTTTATTGTTAGAGTAAAATTAAGTATTTTAAAATTAAACTTATAAATGATTTCGAAATAAGACTGCACAATACAAATTTTCGCAGAAGTTCAGTTTTCTCAAAGAAATTTAGTTCTGTTAATTTGTGTTTCTTGCTGAAAAGTCGTCAAAATATTTAAATGTTTAAAATATAAAATAGTTACCGCTTGATTCAAGAATAACTTAACAATTATTGATGACCAATAAATATAACGAGCTCCAAAAATTCTCCGTGAAAATCCATTTCTTTCTTACTTGATCTGAAATTCCAATTCAACAGTTGAGAGAGAGAGAGAGAGAGAGAGAGAGAGAGAGAGAGAGAGAGAGAGAGAGAGGAGAGAGAGAGAGAGGGAGAGAGAGGGAGAAAGGGAGGGAGAGAGAGAGAGAGAGACGGAGAATGTTTTGATTTACTTGTTAGCTTTCTTTAGTAACAGTATCGCGATTTTAATAGAAAATGTTTGTGTATTGGCTCTTCTCTGAGATCCGTATGTAAACTATTCGGTTTGACTCAAAGACCCATATATATAAGGGACGTTAGTTTATTGATAAATTGATTCAATCCATTGATAAAAACATTCTGTAGTCACTGAAAACATGTTATAACCATACATTTGATTGGAAAGGCGTAAGAATATTGGACACAGAACACAATTTCCACAAAAGAATAATATCTGAGATAATATATTATAAAAAGAAACAAAGGAATGGTATTAATCTTAATAGAGACACCAACTCTTGGATGAGTCTTATTTTGTTGTCTTGAAAGAGTTGGCAAACGACTATTAATTATTGTATCGATTGAATCAATTTATCGATAAACTAACATCTCTTTATATATAGGTTTCCGAGTCAAACCGAACATTTTACATACGGACCTCCGAGGAGAGTCAATACACAAACGATATTTTCTATTATAATCCCAATACTGTTGCTGAAAACAGCTAAGTAAGCCGAAACGTTCAACTGTTGAATTGAAATTTGAGATCAAGGAACAAAGAAGTGGATTTGAAACGCAGAACTTTTGGAGCTCGTTATTGGTCGTTTAAATATTTACTTTACTTAAAATTGGCATCATAAAAATTAATATATTTCTAATAATATATTTATAATATATTTATAATAATATGTTTATAATTAATATATTTCTATTAATATATTTTTAAAATAATAAAAATTAAAAACTAAATAAAGGCATATAGAAATTAAATAAAGTTGTATTTAGAGATATCTTTGTAGTACAATAAAGTGACCATAAATAGAACTAACTGAAACTCTGACGAGCAATTGAGTATTGGATGGAACTGTTTCTGACGAGCAATTAAGTACTGGATGGGAAGGTAATTGTGAAAGACTAAACATAAATATTATTTTGTGTCTAGAACTTTTTCATCAACTTCATTTAGATGGTAGAACCAATGATTAAAATTTACAAGGTGACCAACAGAAATCTAATGAGGATTATACACAGTATTCATGTCTATTAGAGGTCTGTTGGTCATCCTGCAAATCTTAACCATCGGTTCATCTAACCGAAGTTGATGAAAGAAAGAGGTCCTTAGGATCAATTTCACCAACCACGATTAAATTACAGTAACAATTGAAAAGCTTAGTGGATGAACATGTTAAGTAACAATTTTATAGCAGAATCAATGGTTGTTCTATATTATAAAGCAGGTCATAACATGTTCTTCCACCTAGAAATCTCCATTTTTTTCAAAAAATATCACAACATATTTATCCACTAAGCTCTTCAATTAATGTTAGTCGACAGACCAATAAACATGAATATTTTCTCATAAATATTCATTTTATTCAAATTTATATAAAATATTACAAATACTACTTACGATTTTTGAACGGTAAATATCGTCTTTCTTTAATTTGCTCTCGACTGCCTTCAATTGGTCCATAGTTAAAAGTGGAAAATTCCTCCAGATACATTTCTGGATTTTCAGGCTGAGATTGTTTAATTGATACATTTTTATTCGGTGTTATCTCAGATTCCACAAAACTTTCTAGGGTTTTATCAGCTTTTCGTACTGTGAATTTGCACGATGACACTTCATCTAAACAATAAAAATTTTTTTATTATCTTATTTGTGTTGGAAAGAGATAACTTTGGTTATAATAGATTTTTGTTTATTCTACGCTATTAAATGCAAACAGATAAAATGTCAACATACTGCTGAGAAAGCAAATTGCGTCTGCAATAGATTTTAACGAAACCGTTCCGTCTGAAGCATATGCGCATTTATGTGCTACTTTCGGATTCATCTTACACAATCCTTTTTCATAGGTTGAAGAAAATTTTTTTACATTGCAACCTTTATTAATATCATCTACGTTATCTTCTTTAGCAATATTAAATTGCCTACCAATCAGAGGCTTTTTATCATGTTCGGAAAGGTGTAATAGCTTTTCATTTTTTCTTCCACAATGTAAACTGGCATTATTTATTCGTAGATGTGAGATATCTGTTCTTTTTGATTCAATCTTTTTCAATTGGTCATTTTTCGAAGGTAGACAAACATCAGCAGATCTACTTGAACTCTTATTTGAGAGTTCATTTTCTTTATTTTCATAAAAATGTAATGGCGATATATTTGTAATTGACGTTAATTTTGGAATCGCTGGTAATACCACATTTGATTGTTTTTTCTCCGATTTATTCCCTTTGATGGCGTCAGTAGCATCATCAAACAGTTTCTTTCGTTTCTTTATTCTTTTGCCCTTGCCTTTGTCCTCTACATCTGAATATAGCGTTGAATTTGGGTTTTTGGAAATTCTTACGAGCATTTTCATCCCTCTATCGTAGTTCTCTGCAATCGTACGAATATAGATCAAAAGAATCAATGTATACATGAAAAAAAGAAATAAGTTACACAAA